TGACTTGCTCATGGTCACACAGCTAGCAAGTGTCAAGTGTCTGAGGCCAAATTTGAACTCAGGTCCCCTTGACTTTGAGGCAGGAGCTCTATCCACCGCACCACCTAGCTGCCCTCCCCCTTCCTTCCTTCCTTCCTTCTTTCTTTTTTTCTTTCTCTTCCTTCTGTCTAAGTAGGATATGTATGAATTCTTACCTTACCCTTGCCTATGCATTCTCTGCCCAAAGAAATGTAAATTTTGATCTCTCAAACCTTTTTTTCTCTTAAACCCAAATCACTCTGGCTCTCATTGATTGGCCAACAATGGGTCCCAGGCCAAGCCCCATTTGGTCATTGTTTGGCCCCCTGATTGGTTCAGAGTGCATGTAAATAACAATTGTTTTGGCCAGAAACCTTAAGGGTCTTCCCCTCCCAGATTGATTTTTTTTTTATTAGGTAAAGAGGTCATTCTCTGTCTCATTTCTTACCTAGCCTTAATCACTGAATGGGCAGTTCCTCAGTCAAACTGAGACGTGTTAAAGACCTTAGTTTAAAAAGGCCCACTGCATCCAGGACTATCTCCAGTCATCCTGATCTATATCTTATTACTAGACCCAGATGGATCCTGAGAAGCACAGCTCTGTCTCACTTAAATCCAATTCACTTGCATGTCATGGCATCACCTCCCTGATGTCATGGCCCTCTTCACAAATGAAGGACAAATAACAAACAAAAAAACAGTACAATAATATTTCATTAGATTCATTCGCCGTAATTTGTTCAGCTATTCTCCAATTGATGGACACTCCCTTAGTTTCCAGTTCTTTGCTATAACAAAAAGAGTTGTTATAGATATTTTTGCACTTATGGGTCCTTTTCCTTTGATCTCATTGGAGCATAGGCCTAATAATGGTATCACTGTTAATAATCAATTAAATAATAATTAATAGCGTTATCACAAAAGGGCATGCATAGTCTAATGACTTCAGAGCCATATATTTAGAATGGTTGGACCAATCCGCAGCTCCCCCAACAGTCTACCAGTGTGATGGAATTCTCTCAACCCTTCCAACACTGTCATTTTCGTTTTTGGCATCTTCACCAGTCTAAAAGGAGTGAGGCTCAACAAGCATCAAAAATCTATTGTGTGCTGGGGCAACGAGGTAGAGCAGTGGATTCAGGGTCAGGCCCAGAAGCAGGAAGACATCTTCCTGAGTTCAAATCTGGCCACAGATACTTACTAGCTGGGTGACCCTGGGAAAGTCACTTATCCCCATTTGCCTCAGTTTCCTCAACTATAAAATGATCTGGAGAAGGAAACGCCAAGCCACTCTGATATCTTTGCCAAGAAAACCCCAGATGGGGTCATGAAGAGTCAGAAAAACGACTGAACACACACACACACACACACACACACACACACACACACACACATGCACATGCATACTATATGCTGGAAAGATCAGTTCTATTTCATTATTTCTAGCTCACATATATATTAACCCATGGATTAATTCAAAATCTCTATGCCACTGTTCTCCCTGAGAACATCAGAATTCAGTTCCTGTTTCCCTAATGACCCATATAAGGCTCCTCTGCTACCAAACAGAGGGTATAGGACTGTTTTTATTTTAAATCAATCAAAAATGTAGAACAGATTTATACTGTAATTTTTAAAAAGTTTGAGAGACATAATTTCTGGGTAATTAGTCATTTTACTAATAATGCTAGCATTTTAATAAAAGAAGTCAGTGGCACTCTAGAATGCCAAAGATCCTCATGGGGCAGACTCCTGGCCTATATGACCTTGGAAAAGTGGGTATTCTAGGTGGCAGTAAACTCTTTGATTAACCATTAATGAGAGGATGAATATTACAATGAGAAGTAAGTTCACTCCAATGAGGGACTGAGAGATTGACATCATGAATTCAAATCTGGTCTCAGACTAGACACTTGACATTTACTAACTGTGTGACCCTGGGCAAGTCACTTAACCCCAATTGCTTCATCAAAAACAAACAAACAAACAAACAAAAAACCAAACAAACAACAACAAAAAGACTGAGGAGAGTTAATTCAATCTCATTATCAGTAATGTCCTTCAAAAACTGAACTTTGGGAAAAGCTTGTATGGTCTGATGCTGAGTGAAGTGAGCACAACTGGGAGAATGTTGTACACAGTAACAGCCATGTTGTGGATGACTAACATTGATAGACTTAGCTCTTCTCAGCAATGCAAGGATCTAAGACATCTCCAAAGGTCTCATGATGGAAAATGCTATCCACATCCAGAGAAAGAACTGTGGAGTTGGAATTCAGATTGAAGCATACTATTTGCTCTTTTTTTTTCTTTTTCTTCTGTTTTGTTTTATTTCTTCTTCCTTGTGGTTCTTCCTATTGGTTCTAATTCTTCTTTACAACATGACTAATGTGAAAATATGTTTAATAGGAATGTATATGTAGAGCCTATATCAGATCGCGTGTCATCTTGGGGAGGGAGACAGAGAGGGAGGGGAGAAAATTTAAAAATCAAAAGTTTATGGGAGTGAATATTGAAAACTAAAAATAAATTAATTAATAAAAAAAGAAACTGAACTTTGAAATGAGGACCATAGAAAAAGGGGGAATTCCGGATCTCCCCAAATCATTGGTTATTAATAATTATTTTTCTCAGTACCGAAGCCCCTCAACCATCATGAAAACTCATCTCCTTTTTTTGGAGGACATCAAGCTACCAATCTGGTCCCTTTGATTTTCCCTCTGGACCTAAAGGTACTCAGAGCAGTAACTATGCCTCGGGCAAATTCAGGTGAAAGGTGGTGAGAGGTGCCACCCTGGTGCAGAGGAAAATCCCTCTGTGGCTCCGGTTATCCCTAGAGACTCCAAGCTGGATAGAGGGGAAGGTGGGCACTTGGGTATGATGGGACCCTGAGAGTAGCAGCTGGCAGTGGCTTGGATGCAAACCTGGAGAGGACTGGCAAAAGTAAGCTCATCCTCCTGATGAGGTGATGGGACCTGGACCTTGAATTTTCCCATACATTTCAACAGCCCAGATGGTGCTTCTGCCCAAGGCAACTGGCCCACCCCAGCCCACCTAGATCACCTAATTAGCTTACTTGACTTCCTTTCACTGCTCTTGACCCATCCCAGACTACTTAATACTCCTTTCACTGTTGCACCTGGACAATCCCAGGCTACTTCCCTTTCCTTAATCCCATCCAGATCTTTTCACTGTCCCTTTTTTGTATGTAAGTATCAGTCTTAACTCCAATTAAGGTGCAGCTTTATTAGGAATCTTGCCCACTTCTATTGGCATTACAATAAACTTCACTACTTTGACTGAAAGAAGGCTTGAGTGATTGAATTCTTTCAAGGCAGATCTCTCCTGTACCCTTACATTATGGGGTTCCCAGCACCCCAAATTGCAACACTCCCAGGAAAGAAGCCTGACTCTGTCTATATGTCAGCACTCTGGGGCAAAGGTCTAGTTACCCAATGGGAGTTACGCTTCCACACCCACAGGATTCTTGCAGCCTGTAAAGGGTTGGTCCTTCATGTATGGGGTTCCTTCCTCCCTCAATCCTTCCTCCCCTAGATGGCTAAGCAGACACTGTGGCCTCTGGGTCTCTCTTGGGGGAGGTAGCAGTAAGGTGGACAACTCCATCTTCTCTCCCACCCTTTCTCTATGGTCAAGGTTCTGTCTTTCCTTCCATATCTACCTAGAATGCCATTCTGAGCCCCCACTGGTTTCTTGGAGAAGCGACATGGCTGAATGCCCCCCTGTATCTCTGTGTCTGTGCCTCTCAGTGTATTTGTATAACCTGTGCCTAGGCCAGGCCTCAGCAATTCTGAATTATCCTCTACCTCTGAACCCTGGGGTGAGGATGCTTCAGGGGAAAAAGAGAGCCAAAGGATCCCACCCCATCCTCTTTCCCCTCTGGGAGTGCATGCTCACAGTGGGCAAGAAGGCGTGTGACAGAATAAAGGAAATGAAAGCTGGACAGTTTAGACACTGCCACTTAGATTTGACTGCCTCAGCTTTCCTTTCATGATCTTTGAAAATAGAAGCTCTACTTTGGACCGCTGCTTCTGTGAGATGGTTATTGAGACTGAGTTTGGAAATATCTCCGTTCTTCAGTTGCCTAACAAAAGACTTTGCATTTTGCCACAGAGATAATAGGGAGTCTCTGAACTTCTAGAGTAGGGATGAGGAACCCGTGGCCCCAAAGCCAATGTGGCTGCGGCTTTTTTCTGAGTCCAAGCTCTACAGAACAAATCCTTTTATGAAGTGGATTTGTTCTGTGAAGTTTGGATTCAGTGAAAGGGCTGCACTTGAGGACCTAGAGGGCCACGTGTGGCCCCTAGGCTTCGGGTTCCCCACCCCTGTTCTAGAGCAAGGGAGGAACATCACCAGGCTTTGCTTTGGGGATATCTCTTTTACAAATCCTATGGTAATTTTTTGTGTTCATAACACCTTCATTTCTGAATCTATGGTCATCGACCCCCACCCCAGCAAACCATCGCTTGTTGCAAAGAATAAAAAGGAAACGGGGAGGAAAAAGTCAGAGTATGTGCAGGAAGGCCTGTCTGATTCGTTTTTCTGGAGTGGCTCTGTGGCAGAACCCCTGTGGCAGTCAGTGTACAGGCGTAGGTGGAAAGTGGAAAAGAGAAGATGACTTGCAAGAGGAGAGCCCCGGAGGGAGACTACAGCCCGGACGGGAAGGTTGGAATGCGCGCATCTGGGACCTGGGCGCCCAGCTGAGAAGAGCAGAGGGGGAGGCCCTGAGCAGGAGGGCAGCGGGGGGAGGGGAGACAGTAGGGATCTTGGAGGTGGAGCAGTGAGGCAAAGGACCGTGACCTGAAGGGAGTGCCAGGCTTCCCAGGGGTGGGTCTAGAGGTGGTGCCGGCTCTGGAGGCTGGGTAGGGAGAGACTAAGGAGAAGGATCCCGAGTGGGAGGGTGGGGGCGGGCCACGGGACCCCATTGGCCGAGAGCGGGTCCTCCCCTCCCTGGGTCGCGTAGAACCAGGACTGGAGGACTTGACCAGTGACTGGAAGGCGCCATGGCTTCCTACACGCTTTTGGACAGCTCTCTGGCTGTGATCCGCCTGCGGAACCCGCCCCTCAATACCCTTAGGTAGGTGAGACAAAGGGGGCACGACTCCGCAGCTCCTCTGTGGCGGTCCGCCCGCTGAGCCCTGAGGCCCCCGCTCACGAACGAACCGCCCGAGCTGGGGGGAAGCTCAGGGCTCAGCCCCTCCCATCCCTGGTGGGACTTCGGCCGCGCTCTGGATTCCCACGGGCCCTAGCAGGGCTGTTCTCAGAGATCACCTCCCCGCCCCCCCAAGAGCTGGAAGGGATTTGGACAGCCTAACCAAGGACCGGCCTGGGCGATCCCGCGGGTTCCTGCCAGCTTAAATTTCGTGCTCTGTGATTTGTGCTTAGAAATCAGCTGGACGTTAAGCAAACGAGCAACACGCATTTAACAAGCGCCTACTGTGTGTCAGGCTCTGGGCGTAATAAGACAAAAAACCTACTTGTCCCCTGACCAAGGAACTTCTAGGATCATTGATTTAGAGCTCAGACGGACCTTAAAAGACACGAGTTCAACTTCTTCATTCCTCAGGAGAGGACACTGAGGCTCCTGATGGTTAGGCACTAAGAGGGGAGGAAGGATTTGAGCCAAGTCTTGCTACCTCCAAGGCAGGTGCTCTACTCACTATGCCAATTTGTTCGACATGAGCTGGAGGGGACTTGGAGAACCTCCTCTAAGTTGGAGTCTGTGAACTTTAAAAAGCATATATTTTGATAGCTGTATTTAATATTGATTTCATTTGTAATTGTGCATATTTTATTTTATGCATTAAAAAACCTTATTCTGGGGCAGCTAGGTGGCCCAGTAGATAAAGCACCGGCCCTGGAGTCAGGAGGACCTGAGTTCAAATCCTATCTCCGACCAGACACTTGACACTTACTAGCTGTGTGACCCTGGGCAAGTCACTTAACCCCAATGGCCTCACTAAAAACAAACAAACAAACAAACGAACAAACAAAAAAACCTTATTCTGAGAAGTGATCCCTAGGCTTTGGTAGGCTTCCAAAGGGGACTATGACATAAAAAATTTTAAATTTAAAAAAAGGGTAAGATCCCTTGCTCTAGTGACTTATTTTTGATCAATGACCTTCCACTTCTGCCACTCCAGGCACCACAGACTTTGGCCAAATCAAGCCTGGAAGGGGCTCAGCCCACCTAGAGCTACAGAACATTATTAGATGTTGCCCAGTCCAGTGCGGCCTCCAGTTGTATTTCCACAGTGTGATTTCAGACGTTATGTCCAAAGCCATTTGCAATTATATGTATATATAACATATATTATAAGTAAATTTGTATATATAAATAAATTATAAATAAATTTATATATATAAATATAAATATAGACATTTAGGAATTATGTAGTTTCAGCTGGAAGGAACAGAGATTCTTGAGACCAAATTGAAGGAGAAGGGATTTAGATGTCATCAATCATGAATATTTAGTCAGTCAATAAACATTGATTAAGTACTGTTGAGGTGCCAGGCTTGTGCTAAGCTCTAGGGTTAGAAAGAAAGGCAAAAACAGTCCCTGCCCCCAGGGAGCTCTCAGTCTAATGGGGGAGACAACATACAAAAAAACTAGGAACATTACAAGGAAGGTATGTATAGAGTTGTCATTATTGTTCATTAGTTTCAGTTGTATCTAACTCTTTGTGACCCCGTTTTTTCTTGGCAAAGATACTGGAGTGATTTTTCATTTCCTTCTGTTCATTTTATGGATGAGGAAACTGAGGCAAACAGGGTCAAGTGACTTGCTTAGGGTCACACACCTAGCAAGCATCTAAGACCAAATTTGAACTCAAGAAGATGAGTCTTCCTGACTGCAAGCCCAGCACTGCAAGCCCAGCACTCCATCCACTGCACCACCCAGCTCCCCATACAGAGTAGATGGAAAGTAATCTGAGAGGGAAGGCACTGGGCACTGGGGGTGCCAGGAAAAGCCTCCTGCAGAAGGTGGAACTTGAACTGAGCCTTGAAGGAAGCTAAGAGGCAGAGATGAGGAGGGAGGACATGCTAAACATGGGGCACAGCCAGTGCAAAGGCCTGAGGAAGGAGTCCAGCTCCAGTGGGAAGGACCTGAGAGATTCTTTTCCCAGCCAGAGCTGTAGCTTAGAGGTCATCCTGCCTCTCAACACTCACTGCCCGAGTGACCTGCACCAAAGCATTCCCCCTCTCCCAGGAGCCTCATCTGTAAAACCACTGATTGTTGCCCCCCTGGGGTTTCCAAGAGATCTCCAGGGCCTCTGAGTGCCCTTCCTGCTCTAGCTTCATCATGCCAAGATCTTTCTCCTACAATTCTCTCAATTTTATAGGCAAGGAAACCCAGTCCTCCAACTGCAAACCTGTGTTCTTCCCACTACACCCAATTTCCTTTCTCAGTCATCATTTGACATAGATTTAGAGCTAGTACGTATCTTAGAGGTAATCTAATCTAATGCCCTCATTTTGCAGATGGGGAAACTGAGGCCCAAAGAGGTACAGTGACTTTGAAACACTACCTTTAGAGTCTTTTTCCAAGGGAAGGCCCAACCTGGGGGCCAGCCTTATCTTACTTTGTGTGTGAAAGCAAGCTCCTGCTTCATCTCTAGGGAAAATACCAAAGGAAGGAGCCCCTTCAAGCCTCCTTTACCACTGAAGCTGGAATGGACACTGGTCTGGGAAATGAGAACTATTCTTTTCTAAAGCAGCTTAACCCAAGGACTTTGGGGCTTTATTGAACTAGAATTCTAATCCCTGGAACCAAATAAAAGCTGATTAGATGTGGCCTTCTCTGAAGAGCTAGCTTACTGTGCAGGTTTGTCTACTTTTATTTAATAAGCGGTGAATGTCTTTGTGAAAGCCGTTTGGCCCTGGCTTTTGCAAGACCTTGGAAGGAAAAGTGCTTTGAGGTGAGCAGAAAGGGAGACAGCCTTACCCAAGTTCTATTTCTTATAGGTGTTTGAAAGATTGATAAAGTAATGTAGGTATAATCCTTTAATCTGGCTGAAAAAAAGAGGGGAAGGTGATGGAGGGGGCTTTGGAGAAGCAGCTGGGTCTGAATTACAATTGTTCCCATATGCAAGGCCTATGAGAATCATCACATCTCTATTGTGCTTTCTTGCTTTGTCTTATTTGAGCCTCTGGATTATGGATTATATATTATGTATATATATATATATACACATATAATATGGATTATATAGATTGGGAGCTGGGAGGGACTTTAGAGATCATCCCCCTTATTTTGCAGATGAGGAAACTGAGGCAGAGAGAGTTTAAGTGATTTGCCTTAGCTAGTAGGTGTCTAAGGTAGGATTTGAACCCAACTCCCCTCCCAACCATCTATAATGCTACCCCTCCTAGTAGCCTCAGTTAATGATGATTGCAAAATTAACAAAAAGCAGTATGGCAGGGGGCATTGGTTTTAATTTAATTAAATTAAAAATAAGTGCTATCCTTTGTTAATTTTGTAGTTATCATAGATCTGGAAAAAACATGACTTTTGGACCCTGTAGCATTATGCAATCGTGCCAAACATCTCTACACGCAGCATATTTGGTACTTGAGTAAATGGTCAAAGGTGAGTTAAACTCTAGGTTTAATGGTGAAAGGGAAATAGGGGAAAGGTAATTACTATATTTACTATCATCCTTCTCCCTTTTATTTCTAGATATATTTCCTCCAAAATGGTGGGAGTAGGGTAAGGGGAGAAAAAAGGAGGAGAGAACTGGTTCTTACAATTTTTATTATTTGTTTATTTTTAACATTCTTTAAAAAAAGTTTTTAACATTCTTTAAAAAGATTTAAAAAAAAATTCCAATTCTCTCCCTCTTCCCCATCCCTTCCTCACCCAAATAGAAGGCAAGAAATATGATATCAATTATGCATGTGAAATCATGCAAACCATATTTCCATATTAGCCATGTTGCAAAAAAAAAAAAAGTGAAAAAATTATGTTTTCATCTGCATTCTGACTCCATCAATTCTTTCTCTAGAGGCGGATAGCATTTTTCACTGTAAGTCTTTCAGAATTGTCTTGTTATCATTGTATTGCTGAAAATAGCGAAATTATTCACAGTTTATCATCATATGATATTGCTCTTACTGTACACAATGTTCTCATGGTTCTGCTCACTTCACTTTACATCAGTTCATGTAAGTCTTCCCAGGTTTTTCTGAAAGTATTCTGTTCATCATTTCTTATAGCATGATAGTATTCCATCACAATCATACACCACAACTGGTTCAGCCATTCCCCTCAATTTCCAGTTCTTTGCCACCACAAAAAGAGCTGCTATAAATATTTTTGTATAAATAGGTCCTCCCTTTTTTTTTTTTATCTTTGGGATACAGACCTAGTAGTGGTATTACTGGATCAAAGAGTATGCATAGTTTTATAGCCCTTTGGGCATACTTCCAAACTGCTTTCCAGAATGGTTGCATTAATTCACAGGTCCACCATCAGTGTATTAGTGTTCCAATTTTCCCACATCCTTGCCTTCATTTACCATTTTCCTTTTCTGTCATATTAACCAATCTGATAGGTGTGAGGTGGTACCTCAGAGTTGTTTTAATGTGCATTTCTCTAATCAATAGGGATTTAGAGCATTTTTCATATGTTTTATTTATTAGTTCAATGAGTTGTTTTTTTTTTTTTTACTTTCAATTTTATTACTCTCTCCTTTGATTTTCAGCATTTCCAATTTGGTGAGGAATTACTGTCTTAGCAGCATGGTTTGGAAATGTTGTTTGTCAGTCTCCTAGTCATTCTTCCTCCCTTTTTAATGGAATGGGCTTCTTTGAGAGCTGGTGGGTTCTTCTCCTTGGAGGTCTTCAGGCTGAGATTGGAACAGAATATTCCATAGAATATGTTGTAGTGGGGATTTCTATCAGGTATGAGCGGACCAGATAAGAATAATAATACAACATTTCTATAGCGCTTACTATGTGCCAGGAACTGTGCTAAGCTCTACAGTTATCATATTTGATCCTTGCAAGAGCCCCGAGAGGTAGGTTTTGTTATCATCCCCATTTTACAGATGAGGAAACTGAGGCAAACAGAGGTTAAGTGACTTGCCCAGGGTTCCACAGCTAGTAGGTGTCTGAGTCTAGATTTAAACTTGTCTTCCTGACTCCAGGCCCAGCACTCAATCCTCCTTGTCCCAAGGACCTCCAAGGTCCCTTCCAGCTCATGGTTCTGTGCCTCTGGGTTCACCCCTGTCAGATTGGCAAAGATGACAAGAAGGGAAAATGACAAATGGCCACAACAAGAATCTAGACAAGGTGAAATAGTCTGAGATTGTTTGTTAGCACAACAGGGAAGGCAGTGTCTCCAAAGAGGGGCCCAGGAGGAAGAAGGTCCCTGGATTACTGTCCTGTTGCTTTTGTTTAGGTCATCCAGTATTCCCAAGGAGTGGGAAGCAATGGGTGTGACTGGTATCTGATCCTTAAATTACCCCCTTATTCTCCCCCCTCCCCACCTCCTGCCCCAATTCTGTTATCAGAGAGTGATAGATCAAGAAGAGGAGAGAAGGAGGGAAGGAAGGTGGGGAGGGTGGGCAATGCAGTGGGACAGTGTGGGGTCTGGGTCTGAAGGTCCCTCCCCTCCCCTCTTCCCCACATATTCCTTGTGTCTCTGCTCTGCTACTGTCCTACACACAGAACAAATTATACTCATCATTGGCAAGGCCCTCTTACGGGCAAAACATTAACAGGCTGCACCTGCGGCTCACTGCATGAGTGCCCCCAGGCTCAGCTTAGCTGCCTGCCTGAGTCAGCTGTTCTAAGGTCATTCCCTCTCCTTCAGGCCATACTTATGGCAGAAATCAGGAACTTTCACGGAGGCTGGGGCAACAGACAGATAAAAGACCTGCTGCCTCCATCTTTGAGCCTTTATAATTCCACTCAAATGCCACTACCTCCAGGAAGCCTTCCTTAATTCAGTCCTGGTCGTTAATGAGCTTCCCGCTGGAGCTGAACAGTGCTTTATAATGTACTTATTATTTGAGCTTATTTTTTGTGGTTAACTTTATTCCCATATCGAGGGGCCAGTACCATCCAAGTGGTTATTGATTATATCTTTGTTGTTGGTCAGTTGTTTCAGTCATGTCTGACTCTTCGTGACCCCGTTTGGGGTTTTCTTTGCAGAGGGATTGGGGTGGTTTGCCATTTCCTTCTCTAGCTCATTTTATAGATGAGGAAACTGAGTCAAATAAGGCTAAATGACTTGCCCAGGATCACACAGCTAGTAAGTTTCTGAGACCAGATTTGAACTCAGCTCTTCTTGATTCCAGGCCCGGTGCTCTATCCACATCTTGCTGCCCCATTGATTACATACCTAAGATAATAATAATAGACAGCATTTATATAGTGCTTTAAGATTTACAAAGCACTTTATCGATATTATCTCATTTCCTCCTCACAACAACTTGAGAGGCAGGTGCTGTCATTAACCCCATTTTACAGATGAGAGTAGAGTCTGAGATGTCAATAGGACCTCCCAGGTTTAATGTTCAATGGGCAGTTGGTCAGTATCTTGAATGTACCCACTTTTATATACATTGTCTCCTCCATTAGAATGTGAACTCCTTGCAAGCAGCTTACATATTTTGCCCTCCTCTGTATCCCTAGTGCTTAGCACAGAGCCTGGTACATGTTAAGCTCTTAATAAATACTGGTTGATCAATTGATTGATTGATTGATTGATTGGAACTCAGGAGAGAGACTAGGACAAGATAAATAGCTAAAGAGTCATTAGTGGGGCTGCTAGGTAGTACAGTGGCCCTAGAGCCAGGAGGACCTGAGTTCAAATTCAGCCTAAGATGCGTACTAGCTGTGTGAGCTTGGACAAGTCACTTAACCCGGATTGCCTCAAAAAATAAAAGAATAAAATAAAGAGTCATTAGAGCTTATGGAACAGAGAAATGATATGGTCAGATCTGGGCTTTAGAAAAGTCACTTTGACAGTTGTGTTGTTTGATTGGAGTAGTGAAGCAAAAGAGACTGATCATTCAGGCAAAAGGTGATGAAGATCTGTTCTAGAGTAGTAGCTATAAAGGGACAGGTTCCAGAGCCATTGTGGATGGAGAAAGGACTAGACTGGTGGTTAGATGTGAGGGTCAAGGGAGAGCAGGCCTCAGGCAGGTATTGTGCCCACCTCAGCATGTCACCACCAGACAGGGCAGGGCAGGGTTGAAAAAGAAGTGAAAACCACGGGAAACAAGGCAATGAGAGCGAGTAAGTGTTTTCCCATTGTTGGAGTGGGGAGCCCATCATGGCAGGACCATGGGTCCTGAACTTTGTTCCTCTGTCTCTCCCAGGAAGCCTGTGATCGCAGGCCTGATGGACAGCCTGAGGAAAGCTGAGACCGACCCGGCTGTGAAAGCCATCATCATCTGTGGAGCGGATGGAAAGTTCTCTGCAGGTAAGTGTGGCTCTCTGGACCCCTCCCCCTCATTCTCCCAGGTGCTCTCTTGTCCTATGCTGTACTGTGGGCCTCAGTGGGGAATGCCTTTGGGCAGGGCAATGAGTATAATAATAACTCACATTTCTGTCTTGCTTTAGAGAGTCATCCTGGTGTTATACATAGAAAACAGGCCTCAGAGCCAGGAAAACCTGGGTTCAAATCATGCTTCTGACAATTATATTCATAGGATCATAGATCTTGTGCTCTTAGAAGTCACTTAACCCAACCCCCTTATTTTACAGATGAGGAAACTGAGGCTAAGAGGAGCTAAGTTCAAACAGGGAGGGAGGATGGAAAGAAGGAAAAAAAAGAGGGAAGGAAGGAAGGAAGAGGGAGAAAAAAGAAAAGAAAGAAGGAAGGAAGAGAGAACGAGGGAGAGAAAGAAAAAAGGAAAGAAGGAAGCTAGCTGAAGCTCACAGAAGCAAAGAGTGAAAGAAAGTGAGAAAGTGATAAGAGAGAAAGAAAGAAAGAAAAAGAAAGAAGGAAAGAAAGAAGCTCTAACAGTCTATTTGATGGAATCCTAATAAAGCTGCCCCCAGCTCCAACATTCTAACTTCCTTACGAGCCCCACTGAATAGCAGGCATGTCCTGATTTAACCAAACAGTCTGGCTTTAACCACACCCCAGGCCCCCAGACTCGGTCACAGGCCCCGCTGAACAGCAGGCCCACTGATCCTACCTAGCCACTGTCCCCTCCCTCCACTCAATGTCCCAACTTTGTCACATATGCCTCATCGCTCGCCAGAACAACAGGTGCGTCCACGAGCTCACATTTCTCACAGAAACAGCAGGAGTGTCCGTGTGACGGGATGCCAGCCGTTGCCTCTAGCTAGCCACTGCCCCCAGACCCATTCCTCATATCCCTCACAAGTAAAGCAGGCTGTCCGTGCAGCTCACCCCGACCACGTCCATCTAGTCTCACAGGACCACCGTACCCAGCCAATCAGAAAGCAGCACCGCCAGGATGCTCGAGCAGGATGCAGACTCCAGAACGATAGGAGAGACTTGCCCTAAGTAGGCACCTGCGTAGCAATAACAAAAGCTGTCCTTTAGGCGAAGTCATGACATAGACTTATTATAATATCATGATGATACATAGATAACCCCCCAATGCATTTTTCTGTATGCAGGCCCAGGTCCTCTGAGGCTGGGACCCCTCCCCTATTACCTAGTCCCTTAACAAACCCCTCTTGCCTTTTTAATATTCATAATTTCTGCTATGTAATTGCATCTTTACCCTATAAAAATCCATCTTACTTTCACTAAAGTTGCTGGTTCCTCTTGGAGCCTAGCCTGTTTCTGAGGAGCGTCAATCCCCAAGAAATGTCTTTACTTGGATCAGAGGTGGTCTGACTCTGAATTCTTTGAGACTATCACCACAACCTACCCACTAGACTATGCTGCTTCTCCTCTAGAGCAGCTGAGGAATTGTTTTTTCCAACAGGAAAGAGGAGAAGTACAAAGGAAACCTTCCCTTCTCCAGAAAACAAGGCTTTAGTCGGTCCCTTTTAGGGCCAGGCTCCACCGAGGCCGCTAGCTGGCCGCTCGAGAGCTCTGCTCCAACGGTGTCGTGCCCACCACAGGGCACACGATTTTGCCCCTTAAGTACTGGAGCCTGGGTGCACGGACCTCGGTGGCACCCCCTGGTGTCCGAGGAGCACGGCGCACTCCCTCCAACACGAGACCTCCAAGGTGATCCATAGGAAAGAGAGAACCAGGCCTGTGCCACCCCTCACCTAACAAAGTATGGAGGAGGGGATTTCCCTGAAAGGGTGACAGGAGGAGATCTTCGTTAAAGACATTTACAAGATTATTGAAAGTCAGAGTTGAAAGGGATGTCAGACGTCATCTAGCCAAACCATGTTGTCAATCACTGTCCAAGAGAAGTCACCCCCCAGCCCCTGACTGAAAGCCGTCCTGGCCTTCTGGAGGCTCCGTGGTAACAGGGCAGACACACACAGGAAGTGGAATGGTCCTTAGGGCTTAGCGGCAAAGCCGAGGGCGCTGCATCGTCCCCAGGGTCGTTGTCACTGAGAACTTCACATCGGTTTCTGATTTTGAACCCGTTGGCGATGCCAAGGATTTTGGTAGCAAGAACCTTCTTACCCGGGACCTTGCAGTCATTGTGGCTTTAGCGCTGCAGAAGCAGCTGCCGGATCCTAACTTGGGAGGGTGAGGCGGGGTAAATGGCTGCTTGGGACAGTGGCTGGACTAGGGGTCTGGGACCAGTCCTGCTGCCAGGGCTCTTGGCCTTCACTGCCCATGGGTGGAGGGTGGTGAGGAAAGTGGGCCCTTTTTCCACAATGACTGTGGTACCTGGACTGGAAGCAAAGCCAGTGGCCTGGAGGTCACTGCTATTCCCAAGGCTCTCACTGGCCGTGTGACTGTTAGTGCAAGATGGAATGCAAGGCGCTGTACTCTAGACCTCATTTTTCTCATCTGTAAAATGAGAGGGTTGGATTCAGCTCTAAGGTCCCTTCCAGCTGCAAATCTGTGGTTCATGCACCTCTTTGTTTTGCAGATAGGGAAACTGAGGCTGAGAAAAGATAAGTAAAGAACGTGGTTACCTTTTCTCCAGCTTTTTATGCCAAGTTGGCAAACCTGAGTAAGAATAACACCCCATTTGCATGGCATGTTACACTTGGTAAACTCTGGGTACCATTTCTTCCCACATATACTCTAACCAGTCACACTCACTTTCCATTTAGAGAAAGAAAACATTTCCCCGACACCATCGATGCCCTGTTCTTGCTCTCAGCTGTCCTCGATCTCTTTGTTCGTGTAGCCCTTCAAGGCTCTGGACCTGTTGTTACTGATCACAGAGCACTGATGTTACCTAGAATGAATGACCTGCTTTCCAGGCCTACTGTCCCTATTTCCCTGGAACGGGACCTTTTACCGAGACAACTCCTCTCTCCCAGGCTTGTTGCTTCATGCCAGATGACTCATCTGCTAATCCCCTCTCCGGTTTGGGGGCAGAAATGGGTATTATCCTCTTGGCTTTGGGGTAGAACAGTCTTCACTGGCGAGAAAGCGCAGCCTTTTCAAACACAGCAGCTCTGGCAGGCCCCGACCCATCCTTCACGCCCCATCTAGGCATCCACCTGGGGCTGATGCTGGCTGCCTGTGTGGCTGGGCAAACCGCTTCTTCCCACTGGCTCTTGGCAGGCCCTCCAGCATCTTTGCCAAGAAAACTCTGATGGGGGTCCCAAAGACCCTGGAAATGACTGAACAACAGCAACAAAATGTATGTTCCAGGGTGGGAGATTTTATATCCACGCCTATTAATAGGGGATAAAGCTGGTCATTCCAGCCTGGCAAAAAAAAATTATTGGAGCTGTGCTCTGTCCTCTGATACATGCTAGAGAGCCCAGGGATTAGTTCAGTGCCTGGAACATAGTTGATGCTTAATAAATGCATACTGACTGACTGACTAACCATTCTTCAGGGCTCCGTGTCAGCTGTAGAGCTGACAAGTTTGCCTTTGTTCAAATCACTGATAAAGACATTAACCAGAACAGGACAGAGTGCTCCTCAGATATTCTTTGGGCCTCCTCAGCCCACTGTCCAGAACCCACCCAACTTTACTTCCTAATGGCACTCTTACTCCAGAACCTTCAATGGCTCCCCATTCTCTACAAGATGAATTTTATTTTATTTTATTTTTAGGCAGTTGGGGTTAAGTGACTTGCCCAGGGTCACACAGCTAGTAAGTGTCAAGTGTTTGGTCTGAGGCTGGATTTGAACTCAGGTCCTCCTGACTTCAGGGCCAGTGCTCTATCCACTGCACCACCTCGCTGCCCCCTACGAGATGAATTTTAGACATCTTAGTCTGGATTTCAAATTACTCCATGATCCAATTTTCTAATTGGATTTCAAATTTCTCATTTCAAATGATCTAATTTTCTAGTTAGGAATAAGAGATGGGGCATGATAATCCCCCAGACCATGATCTGACCATGGAGAGAGGGAACGTCTGTGACTTCTCTTTCCTGGGGAGGAAATAGGTTGGCTCCCATGCCTGGAATGCACTCACTCCTCATCTCTGCCTCTTACTTGATTGACTCTTATGTCTCCATTTTATAGGTAAGGAAACTGAGGCTCAGAGAGATAAATTAGGAGAGCTCATAAGAGTCAGAGGTAGGATTTGAACTCACATCTTGCTGACTTTGTCTAGTGCTCTGTCCATCACACCTGACTGCCTCCCAAAAGCTGTCTAGTGGGTTTATCCTGAACAAGGCTTTTTCCCCATAACACTTTTATTCTCTTTATTTCCTTAGGTGCTGATATTCGAGGCTTTAGCCAACCAGTTATGTCAACCGGTTCATTACTCTCAGTAGTTGAAAGCCTGATGGAAATGGAGAAGCCTTTGGTGGCTGCCATCCAGGGCCTGGCTCTGGGAGGAGGCCTGGAATTGGCTCTGGGCTGTCACTACAGGATTGCTGATGCCAAGGTGACAGCTCTGGGTGGACCATGGAGCTCTCTCTCTGACACCAACTTTAGACCTCACTCCAGACGATTGTCGAAAAGGCCACCCTCACCTGGGAGGAGAGAATGACCAGGGGCTGGGCTGAGTTGTGGTTGTCCTGTTGAGTCATGGCCAACACTTCATGACCCCGTGGACCAGACTGCCCATGGGGTTTTCTTGGCAAAGAGACTGGAGGGGTTTGCTATTTCCGTTTCCAGAGGTTAAGTGACTTGTCCAGGGTCACACAGCTGCCCCTTGTAATAGCATTTTCTAAACCAAGAAAATTGCAGCTAGGTGGCGTCATAGCGCACAGAGCGCCGCACCTAGAGTCAGGAAGACCTGAGTTTAAATGCGGCCCCAGACAGTACTAGCTGTGTGACCCTGGGCAAGTCACTTAACCCCGTTTGCCTCAGTTTCCTCACCTGTAAATTGGAGATAACAACAGCATCTACTTCCCAGGGTTGTGAGAATCAAGTGAGATAATAATTGTAAGGTACTTGGCACATAGCAGGCCCTATATCAACGTTAGCTATTATGATGATTAGATCACATTTGGAGCATCGTTCATAGGATTAGCCCTGGAAGGGACCTTTGATGTCAGTTAGTCCAATTTTCTCATTTTGTAGAAACAGGAGCAGGCTCAGAACATAATTGCCCAAGGGCCCCCTGTAAGTGGCAGACTCCCAATTCCACTCTGCAGTTCTCAGTGCCTTGGTTTGAAAAGAACTTTGAAAAGCTAGAGTGTGTCCAAAGGAGGCCGTACCCCAGGATGACCCGTTGGAGGAGCAGAGCCTGTTTAGCCTGCGTAAGAGACAACCCAGGGGCAGCTAGGTGGAGCAGTGGATAGAGCACTGGCCCTGGACTCAGGAGGACCTGAGTTCAAATCTGGTCTCAGACACTTGACACTTACTAGGTGTGTGACCCTGGACAAGTCACTTAACCCCATTGCCTACCCCCCCAAAAAAATAAAATAAAATAAAAGGGGGCACCTAGGTGTCTCAGTGGATAGAGCTCCGGCCTTGAAGTCAGGAGGACCTAAATTCAAATCTGGCCTTAGACACTTGACAGTTACTATCTGTGTGACCCAGAGCAAGTCACTTAAGCCCGATTGTCTCACAAAAAAAAAAAAAAATAAAGAGACAACCCAAAGGGCTGTGATGGCTGTTTGCAGTTATGAAAGGCTGTCAGTCATGTGGCAGAGGGGTCAGGCTCATTCAGCTTGGCCCCAGACGATAGAACTGGGAATTATGGAAGGGAATTTGTACAGTGACCGGTTGGGTTTGACGTCAGGAAAGGGAATTGTCCTTGCATGGAGTCTCGGAGCAGAGGCTGAGGCGGCCCCTGTTGAGGATGTGATGGTGGGGATCCCTTTCTGTCTCTAGGTGGGTCAGGATGGCTTCCAGGGTGGGATTCTTTGTGAATGCATGCTTCTGCTGACTCTATCAGAACAGCTTACCAATCTGGGTGTACTTCCATATTTGATAGGCTCAAGTTGGTTTCCCAGAGGTCACCATTGGACTTCTCCCTGGTGCCAGAGGGACCCAGCTTCTTCCCAGGCTCATTGGGATACCTGCTGCCCTTGACCTGATCACCTCAGGTAAATCCAATCGTCTATTATAATATATACACGAGTGAGGCTGAGAGGGGTGGGCAATCCACTGTGCAAGGAGTCTGAAGACAAGCATTCTAGTCCGGCTCATGTCCCTACCTCACCAAATGCACTTGGGCTCATCCCTCTGGCCCTCAGTTTCTTGGTTCTTGGATAATGGCGCCTGTCGAGCCTACCTCTTGGGAGTGCTATGACCAAATAAAGTCTCAACTTTATTTGGCTTCAAGGGGAAGGTTGCCTAGAGGGGGTGGTATCTGAGCTGGTCCTTAAAAGATGGGAAAAGAGATGTGGATGAGAGGGAAAGATTTCTTCCATGAGGAAAGACTGTTGTGTGGGAAGATCTGCTTGGCCCCACAAGGTAGACTAACTTGGAGCAGTGGATGGAAGTCTCAGAGTGACAGTTTTGGGTTGGATGTCAAGAAAAAATCTTAATAATCAAAGCGGTCCCAAAGTGAGAAGCAGGGGTTTCCCCATCACTTGGAAATCTTTAAGCAAAGGCTGGATGGCCATTTGTCAGCCATGTCATGGTGGGGACTATTTGGTTGATCGAGAGTTAGAAGAGATCTCAGAGACTATGTAGTCCAATCCCCTCATTTTACAGGTGTGGAAACTGAGGCACAGAGTACAAAACGATTTGCTCAAAGTCACACAGCTAATAACTATCTGAGATTTGGATTTGGAGAGGCAGTGTGGTATAGTTTAGAGTCAGAGGACCTGGGTTCAAATCCTAGCTCTCCCACCATCACACTATGGGGATGACCCCATTTGTCACTTCCTGTCTCTTAGCCTTAATTCCTCATCTGTAAAATGAATGGGCTCGACCAGGTAACCTCTAAGGTCCTTTCCAGGTTTAAAACTGTCATGATGACCCAGGCTTTATGACTCCAATGCCAAATGTCTAATCCGGTCTACCACACTGCCAACCAAGTTGGCTTCCAGCTCAGAAATTTTGGGGTTCTGGGATTATCACCCTTTTGTCCAAATACTTCTTTGTTGCAGGGAGACATATTTCAGCTCCTGAAGCACTCAAACTGGGATTACTGGACAAAATTGTGAACTCAGATCCCGTTGAGGAAGCCGTCAAGTTCGCCAAAAAAGTTTCAGGTAAGGAAAGAGCTTTTAAGCATTATTGGCACTATTTTGAAAACATTTCAGAAGCCACTCAACCCAGTTCTTAGACAGGTAGGCAGGCTAAAACAAGTCTTGGTTGGGTTGAATAAATCAAATCACTCCACACTTTGTTTTTGTTTTTGTTTTTTTAGGCAATTGGGATTAAGTAACTTGCCCAGAGTCACACAGCTAGCAAGTGTCAAGTGTTTGATCTGAGGCCGGATTTGAACTCAGGTCCTCCTGATTTCAGGGCCAGTGCTCTATCCACTGTGCCACCTAGCTGTCCCCACTTCACACTTTTTAAAACGTTAAGATGCTAAGCCTTCATAACATAACTTAATGAGAACACTTTTCTATTGAATAAATCCATGATAAGTTTTGGATTGAAGGGAAGGGAGGTCCTTACTCAACTGGAGTGATATTGCATAGGAACTGATTGGCTGAAAGTCAACTAGATAAGAATCCAAGAGATTTTGAGATTTGAGTTAGTGGAGAAGAGAGCTTGTTCCAGCTAACACCTTGAGAAGGAATTGATTGAGGAAAGAAAAGCAGAGCTAATTAGGGTTAGTGCTAGTTAAATGTCTGTGGCAGGATTTGAACTCAGGTCTTCCTGACTCCAAGTCCAAAACTGTGCACCTTAGCTGACTAATTGGTTGTCTACTCATAATCATAGTAAGAAGCACACCAGTGGGGGCTCATGAGTCATAGCTTTAGAAAGACACCTTCTGTTCTTTCAGGACTACCCTAAGAGCCCCAAAGGGACAAAGTAGTCATGCTCTGGGCACCCAGCTCTTCAGTGGGAGTGTAGCTTCAAAGCATGAACTGCAGGTGACAAATATCATCCACCCCTCGGTTAGCATTGTTCTGATACACAGACATGACAAGCTCTCCACTGGGGATTCTAACATGGTTTGGCTCATAGGTTCCTTTGGCAAAGTCTAAGATCCTCCAGGTTCCATCTTCTAGAGATGTAAGAAAGCAATCAACCCACAAACATTCATAGTTCAGTCTCTGTGTTTGGTGCTAGTGATACAAAGACAAAAGTGAAACAATCCTTGCCCTCAGGGAGCCTACATTCTAATGTATCTACACAAATGAGTTCCTTCAGAGTAGGGACTGTATTATTTTCTGAATTTGTATCCCCACTGCCTAGCACTGTACCTACCACATAGTAGGCACTTGGTAAATGTTTTTACTGTCTGATTGATTTCTCGGTAAATGCAAATTTTTAAAAAATGTTTAAAAATTATTTAATTTTTAGTTTTCAACATTCACTTCCACAAGATTTTGAGTTCCAAATTTTCTCTCCATCTCATCCATCTCCCCACCCCAAGACAGCGTGCATCCTGAATACCCCTTCTCCTAATCTGCCCTCCCTTCTATCTCCCCCCACCCCCTTCTCTTTTTTCTTTTCCCAACATTTCACAATTTGGCCACTGGAGGGCGCCTGGATATTGAAGAATCCTTGGAAAATTTGGTGATCTTAGGATAAGATAGGAGGGATAATTCATTGCCAGTGTAGATCCTTGAAGATGTTCTGGGGTTCAGAGGATCCTAGAGACTATCTAGCTCAGCCCCCCTCATTTTACAATGGGGAAACTGAGGCCCAGAGAAAACGACTAGCCCAAGCCTACACAGTTAGTAAGTGAAAAAGTTAGGATCTGAACCCAGAGCCTCTGACTCCAAAGCCAGTACCCTTTTTGTTACACCAGAAGCTAAAGTACCATAGGAATATATTGTTGTTAATTGTTCAGTCGTTTCAGTTGTGTCCAACTCTTCATGACCCCATTGGGAGTTTCTTGGAAAAGATACTGGAGCAGTTTGCCATTTCCTTCTCCAGATCATCTGACAGAGGAGAAAATTGAGGCAAGCAGAGTTATGTGACTTTCCCAGGGTCACCCAGCTAGTAATCTCCTGAGGCTGGGTTTGAACTCTTCCCGACTCCAGGCCCTGCGCTCTATGTGCTAGGGCGCCACCTTGTGCCCATCATAGAAATACAGCATCCTCAATTTGGAGCTAGAAGGCACCTTAGAACGAATTTGTTGAGGACAGGGATGGCAATTTGATAAGCAGAACCTCCAAGTCTAAAGCCAGTGCTTTTCCACAGAACCTCACAGCATCAGGGGGAATTCAAACCCAAGTCTTCCTGGCATTAAGTTCATCTACAATGCTCCGAAAATTCTTTTGAAATAAGTATTTTTTAGAGAATGCCTTAACCTGAGTACGTTTTTCCTTTAAAATCCCATGAACAGACTCAAGTTCTCCCCTAGCATCAAATGAAGGTTGGGTGCGGATGGACCAGTAGGTGGATGCTCATTTTCGTGAGGGAATTAAGGAATGGAAAATTTCCTCAAATTGGTGAAACACCAGCTAGCGAGGACAGGCACGAAGTGAGAACATGTCACAGCTGCTATTATTAGGGACTTACTAATTGTCTTAATGAGTATAATTAAAATCTCAACATTAATTACTTAGTGAAATGAGTCTTGTTTGTGTTTTTTAATTTCTCTTTCCTGGATGTGCCTGCTCACGGGTAACTTTTAGAAGGTTCTGACTTCAGTTCCGTTTTCTTTCAGGTCAGCCCATAAGCTCTCGGAGACTCAAGACAAGGCAGGTTCAGAAGCTGCCAAATATGGACGCAATTTTCCAGGAAGCCCTGCTCAAGATGAGGAAACAGTACCCAGGGTGTATTTCTCGGGAGGCCTGTGTCCAAGCTGTCCAGGCTGCTGTCCAATACCCCTATGCAGAAGGGAAAGAGAAAGAGAAAGAGTTGTTCCTGTACCTTCTGAGTTCAGGACAAGCTAGAGCCCTGCAGTATGCCTTCTTTGCTGAGAAATCTGTGAGGAAGTGGTCAGTTCCCTCTGGAGTGTCATGGAAGACCTCCTCAGCACAGCCTATCTCCTCTGCAGCAGTAGTGGGTAAGAAGCACCGATAGTCTATGCAATTTTCCACACCAGAGCATTACAAAACATTTGCTTAGGTCCTAGGGCAAGAAGCCCAATCTCTTAGGATCTGTGACCCCTTCACAAACACAGGCATAATCCCTGTGTGGTTTAGGAGACAGCCTTCATGAGTTACTAACGTTCATAGTTCTGTGGCTCTCTACTCGTTCATGGAGTCACAGAATTACTAAATCAGAGAGGTAGAAGGGACCTCAGTTGGCCTCTTGGAAGCTTCTCCCAATGGCTCCTGGTTCTGTCTTCTGGGACCAAACAGGACATGTCTAGTCTCCTGCCTCCCTCAGTCTTTCTCCAGCCTTAACCTTCACTCAGTTTCTTCAAGTGGTCCTCCTTTAACATCAACTCCAGGCTCTTCACCCATCCTCATCACCCTCTTCTGGACGCTCACTGAGCTTGTCAGTGGCCATCCTGAATTGTAGCTCCCCAAACTGAACACCCATGAAGGCTTCTCCAGGTGATGTCGGACAAAGGCGGAGTACAGAGGGACCACCATGTCCTTGTTCCAAGAAGACACGGCTCTCCCTACAGCCCAGGATCACATCCACTGTTTTAGTTGATGCATCTCATGGCTAATAGATACTAAATTTTTCGTTCACCAAAGTGCCCAGATCTTTTTCAGAATAATTGTTTTCTATCCATGCCTGCCCATCTTATTTGAGCCATCCAGTTAGTTAATAAACACTTATTAAGTGCTTGGTATGTGCCAGACATCATGCTAAGTACTAGAAGCCACATGGTGCTGGGAGATAGGCACTCTGGATATTAGTAACCCCATTTTAGAGGTGAAGAAACTGAGGCTTAAACTTACGTGACTTGGCTAAGATTATATAACTAGTAAGTGTCAGAAGAGGGCTCTGAACCTAGGTCTTCCTAACACAAAGTCCAACACTATTCACTCTCTGGTTTCCTCCACTGATGGCAACAGATTTCAACCCTCCCATGCCTTCTCAGCCCAAGGGACTTTTCTCCATGTCCCCCCATAAATACTCCACCCAAAGTGCTGGGGGTCTTCTTCTGGTTCTTTGGACATACAGACATGGTTATCAGTGGAGCATGTGGGTGGACCATGGGTCATTGCTCACCCGTGCCCTGTGATGAAGCCATCTACTTCTCCAGCTGCATGTTTCTCTGATGACATCTTTTACTCTCCTTCTCTTGGGCAATTCTTGGTAGGTAATGTGGGGCAGCCTGTTTGTGCCTACCATGGGCTGTTGCATTTCTCTTTGGATACAGCTTTAATTCTTTGAAGACAGTGATACTTCATGCTTGGTCACCATGCAGCATCCTTAGAAAAAAGTGTTTAAGAAATGGACCATTCTTTTGGGGACAAGCTAGGGGATTACAAAACATGGCAGTTTCCCTGAAGGCAGTTCAGTCTGCTCTCCTATTCTGGACCTACTTCACTGTCAGTGTCTGTCTAAGCTATATGCACTGATGGAGTCTACTTGAGTATCATTGTCTGCCTATCAGACATTTTTCATCCACTTGGTTTTTCTTGTGTGGATACTTAGGCCCAACTCATAAGAATGATTATAGATCTTATTTAGGAGACCACACTTTTCTGGAACTTGATGAGATCAGTATTCTATCACCTGGAAACTGCAGTAGTGGAAGGACCTGTATGTGTCTAGAGAATCTCTTCTATACATCTTTTTGTACTTTTCTCATCAACTTCTAGCACAGGAACTGGCATATATCAGTTACTTAAGAAATGTCCATTGAATTAAATTAACTACATATATGGGGCTAGCCAAAAAAGGAAGTGTTTTTGAGTGCTTGAAAAAGCCCTTTTTGTTCTGTACTCTTTAACTATTATGATATAACAATAATTATTATTAGTGGAGTTAATATTCTTAGAATATAACTTCTTGAAGATGAGGAGGGCAAGTAGGAGGAAGAGAGAAGCACAGCAAGTGTTGGGGGGCTGCCAAGGGTATAGTCCAGGGATCTGTTCTTGGCCCTGTGCTATTTAACATTTTGATCAGTGACTTGGATAAAACAACAGAAAGCATCTTTGTCAATTTTGAAGGTGACATAAAGCTGGGAAGTATAGCCATCACAATGGATGAGTGGGTCAGGACCTTGACAGGAGAGAGCACTGAGTTGAATCAAATAAGATTAAACTTAATAGAAATAAATATAAAGTCTTAAATAGGAGGATCCAAAAATCAACTTCACATATACAAGACTGGGGAGGCATGGTGAGACAGTAGTTTGTCTGGAAAAGATCTGGGGGTCTTATTGGACCACAAGCTCAATATGAGTCATGGCAGCAAAGAAAGCTAATGTGAACCTAAGATTGCATTAAGGGAGACATAGCATCCTTTTTCTGGCCATGTCTACTTAATAGTGTCAGAAGGGGTGCAGCCAAAATGACTGCCACCATGCTCTAGCTGCCTTCTCCCTCCAGCCCTCTGGAGGGAGCCCTCTCTCATTGGTGAGTTCTTCCCAGAACCTCCATTTTGAGGAAGGGCCAGACCAGCCATCCTTTAATCTCCAGACATTGATATTGTGTCGCTATGTAGGTGCCACTCCCTGAACCCTGCTTTGTGTTATCTTTCAATATTAGAATGTAATTAGAATGCAATCTACTTGAGGGCAGGGACTTTCTTTCTTTTTGCTTATATTTGTATCCCCAACATTTACCTGATACAGAGTAAACAAAAGGTGCTAGGTTTGGACAAAGGGAAGACAGATGCGGTTCCTGCTTTTGCTAACCTACCTGTTGAGTCATTGACCCTCTCTGGGTCTCAGTTTTCTCACATACAAAGAGAGAGAGTCAGGCCGGATGGCCTCTGGAGTGTATGTCCTGCCACTGAGGGAGGGCACTGTTGTCTTGGGGCCAAGGGCCAAAATAATGCATCTTGAACCCAACTCCCAATTCTCTCCTGGTAGGAAAATTCTCCCACTGTCTTGGAAGCCATAAGTCACCCCCATCCCAGTGGCTGGGCCCTGCCAGGGTGTCCTGAATGCTACATAGGCCTGGACACCTTTATCCAGAGACAGCAACGCTTTTGCATAGCTGGAGTGGGGAGGAATCATTACATGTCTGGGCAGCCTAGGCTATGAGAGAACCAGAAAGAGGTCCCTGAGGGCTGTAATAGCTGCCCAAACCTCTTGTGGGAGTGAGCAGCAGCGCCCAGCTGAGGCCTGGCTCCAAATGAATGAATGAACAAATGAATGAATGAAAAAATGCACTGTCTATATATCTAGTACATTCCAGGTACTTTGCTAAGCACTTGAGATACTCATACAAAAGTGAAACAGTCCTTGCCCCCCAGAAACTTCCATAGGGAGAGATAGAGGGGAATGGTACTCAGAGAAGAGAATTATGGTCTGGAAAGTCACAGAGATGGTGAGTGGAACAAGACGGCATCTCCAACCTGTTTGAGCATGCCAAAATGGTCATATCACTAATATGGTGTCAGAGGCAGGATTCAACCAAACCCAGGTTGTCTTGACTCAAAGGCCAGCCTTTGACCCACTCCACATAGCTGCCTGTATAATTATAAGTGATAAGTTTTTTCATCCATATGTCTGATTTCAGCAGTGGAGGGAATGAAGAAAAGACTAGTGCTTGGGGTCCCAGAGGGAATGAGCCCCAGTTTGATACTGTGTGATGACCAGTCTCTTTCTCTTTATTTTTTTTTAATTTTGAGTTCCAAATTTTACCCCATCTCACCCCTCCCCCCACTCCAAGAGGGCATGCATTCTGAATACCCCTTCTCCCAGTCTGCCTTCCCTTCTATCTCTCCCCCCTTCTCTTATCCCCTTCCCCTTCTATTTTCCTGTAGGGCAGGATAGATTTATGTACCCCATTTCCTGTATTTCTTATTTACCAGTTGCATGTGAAAACATTTTTTTTAAACATGTGTTTTTAAAACTTTGGGTTCCAAATTTTCTCCCTTCCTTCCTCCCCACCCACCTTCATTGAAAAGGCAAGCAATTCAATATAAGTTATACATATGCAGTTATGCAAAACACTTCCATAGTAGACATACTGTGAAAAACTAACTCTATTTCCCTTAATTCTATCCTGCCCCCCCATTTATTCTATCCTTTCTTTTGACCCTGTCCCTCCTCAGAAGTGTTTGCTTCTGATTACCCCCTTTCCCAGTCTGCTCTCCTCTCTATCATTCCCCTGCTCTCTTGTCCCCTTCTCCCCCTATTTTCCTGTAGGGTAAGACAGATTTCCATACCCAATTGAGTGTGTATGTTATTCCCTCCTTAAGCTAAATACTGTGAGAACAAGATTCACTCATTCCCTCTCACCTTCCCCCGTTTCCCCTCCACTGTAAGAGCCTTTTCTTTTCTGTTTTTTTTTGTGAGATAATTTACCCTGTTCTACCTCTCCCTTTCTCCTTCTCCTAGTATAATCCTCTCTCACCCCTTAATTTTATTCTCCAGATATGACCCCTTCATCTTCAACTCACCCTGTGCCCTCTATCTATCTATCTATCTATCTATCTATCTATCTATCTATCTATACACACATACATATAATTTTTTCCCTCCAACTACCCTAATACTGACAAAGGTCTCATGAGTTACAAATATCATCTTTCCATGCAGGAATGTAAACAGTTCAATCTTATTAAGTCTCTTATGATTTCTCTTTCCTGTTTACCTCTTCATGTTCCACTTGAGTCTTGTGTTTGAAAATCAAATTTTCTATTCAGCTCTGGTCTTTTCATCAAGAATGCTTGAAAGTCCTCTATTTCACTGAATGACCATTTTTCTCCTGAAGGATTATACTCAGTTTTGCTGGGTAGGTGATTCTTGGTTGTAATCCTATCTCCTTTGCCCTCCAGAATATTATATTCCATGCCCTGTGGTCCCTTAATGTAGAAGCATGATTTTCTTGCATCACTCTCATTTCTCTTCCCAGTTTTTCCTCTACTTCTCTTACTTGCTTCTCAAAATCCCTTTTGAGCTCTTCCAAGGCCTGGGACTGATTCATATTTTTCTTAGAGGCTTTGTACACAGGAGCTTTTACTTTGTTGTCTTCTTCTGGTTGTACGTTTTGATCTTCTTTATCACCAAAGTAAGATAATATAGTCTGACTCTTTTTGCGCTGCTTACTCATGATCCTGGCCAAATACTTGAGTTTTAAACTCTTTGTTAAGGTAAAAGTCTGCTTCCAATGTGGAGAATGTACTGTCCCAAGCTTTGGGGATTTGTACAGCTGTTTTCAGAGATACTTCTATGGATCTGTAAATTTTCAGCTCTTCCAAGGTGCTATGATAAGGGGTGAGGTGTTTCCTCTCCACCGCCACAACAAGCTCCACCATGCCAGCGCTCCTCCTCGCCCCAGGACCACCCCTCAGAACTGTGACCCAGATCCAAGCATGGGCAAAGCAAGAGATTCCTGCCTCAGCCCTGGCAAAGACATCCTTGCAATCCCCCTCTGATCAGCCACTCGATTCCCCCTCAGTCTGTGGGCCGGAAGCTCAGGAGGCAGCTGCTGCCCTGGGCCACACTCGGGATTTGCGGCTGAGACCTAGCTTCTCTCTCATCGTAGTCACAGACTTTTCCCACTGACCTTCCAAGTTGTCTTTGGTGTTCATTGTTTGAGAAGTCTGGAAACCGCCACAGCTGCCTGTGATTCAGTCCTCTGAGGCCTGCTCCAGGGTCACTGCAGCCTGCTCGCCCAGGCTGAACTGCGCTCTTCTCCCTGCCTGGTGCAATATACCTTTCTGATCAACCATCCAGGTTATCTTGGGCTGGAAATTTGTTTCACTCTGTCTTTTTGTGGGTTCTGATGCTTTAGAATTTGTTTAGAGCCATTTTTTTACAGGTATTTGGAGGGGTTTGGGGGAGAGCTCAAGCAAGTCACTGCTTTCCCTCCGCCATCTTGGCTCTACCCCTCTTTCTCTTTACTTAATGGAACATTTTGTGTGCGCGTGGAGTCCATCCAGTTGTCCAAGGTTGATTTCAGTCTTTTCCCTGGTGAGATGCTTTGCTGTTTCTCACATGGTCCAATCTCTTCTTTTATCTCTAGGTTTGGGAACAATGGGAAGAAGCATCGTCATCTGTCTGATCAGGGCCAACATTCCAGTTATTGCCATGGAACAGGACGAGAAGCAGCTGGATTGGGCCAAAAAGGTGATTGTTTCCCTCTTAGAACAAGAAGCCTCCAAACAGAAACAGAGTGGCCAAGAGTGGAAATGGCCGAGACTCCAGTTCACCACCTCCCTAGATGAGGTAGCAGATGTGGATTTGGTGATTGAGGCTGTTTTTGAGGAAATTGCGCTGAAGAAACAGGTCTTCAGCAAATTGTCAGCCATATGTAAGCCTTCAGCTTTTCTGTGCAGCAATACCTCTGCTCTGGATATCGATGAGATTGCTTTGTCCACACGCCATCCTCAACAGGTCATTGGCACCCATTTCTTCGCCCCAGCTCATGTTATGAAATTATTGGAGGTCATCCCTAGTTGTTATTCATCCCCCACTACCATTGCCACCGTCATGAGCTTGGCAAAAACCATTAAAAAGGTTGGCGTTGTGGTTGGAAATTGCTTTGGATTTGTTGGCAATCGAATGCTGCTTGCTTTCTACGATCAGACTAATTTCTTAATAGAAGATGGTAGCCAGCCAGAGGAAGTTGATCAAGTTCTAGAAGAGTTTGGTTACAGAATGGGTCCTTTTCGAGTAGCAGATCTGTCTGGGTTGGATGTGGGTTGGAGATCACGGAAGAGTCGAGGCCTCACAGGACCTACCTTAGCCCCAGGGACACCCACGCGCCAACGTGGCAGCAAACGGTATTGTCCAATTCCTGATATTCTGTGTGAACATGGAAGACTTGGCCAGAAGACTGGCAAAGGCTGGTATCAATATGACAAACCAATGGGCAGGATTCACAAACCGGATCCCTGGCTTTCTAAATTCCTATCTGAATACAGGCAGAACCATCGTATTGAGCCACGGGTCATAACACCAGATGAGATCCTGGAGCGCACAGTGTATTCCCTCATCAATGAAGGCTTTCGTATCTTAGAAGAAGGCATGGCTGCTGGCCCTGAACACATTGATGTAATCTACAATAATGGTTATGGATGGCCGAAGCACAGGGGTGGACCCATGTTCTATGCCTCCACGGTGGGACTACCCACAGTGGTTGAGAAATTACAGAAATATTACCAGAAGAATCTGGACATCCCCAAGTTGGAACCCTGCAATCTTCTGAAGAAATTGGCCTCCCAGGGGAACCCTCCTCTTCAGGAATGGCAGAGCTTGGGGGGATTTCAAATCAGCAAACTGTGACTTCACTCACAGAGGATCCCCAGGTGAGGCCTTCCACATACCACCCTCAGGCAAACAATGTTGAAACAAATCAAAATTCAAAGGCTAAGATCTATGGGGAAAATCATGGGCATGGTGACCCCTTCTGTGGGGCTGCTCCTGTATGGTGATTCTAATGGTTCAATACCATAAAGAACTTATGGATCAGATCTTCTGGAGGCTCATGGCCACAAAACTTCTTCCCAGGCATCTGAATTGTCTCTTTTGACTTGATTCTATCCTGTGAAAACAGTCCGCCTTGGTAATGTTTCAATGGCATTTGAATAAGAAGTGGTTGGAGGAGCATGATGGGTATAAGACAGGCCCAGAGTCACTGGATTCAACCATCTCCACCAGCTATCACCCGATGCTTCTTCTCTCCTTGGCTAAATGCCTTGAGAAAGCTATACTCAGTGACTCTAGTTCTTCCCTCATTCTCTTCTATGCCCTCTAAAATCATATTTCAGACATCATTATTCATCTGAAACAACTTTCTCTCGATTTACCAGGGATTTCTTCATTGTCAGATCTGGTGGCCTTTGTTCAATCATTCTTTTTTGACCTCTCTTTAGCATTTGACATTATTGATCATGTCCTCCTGAGTAGTCTCATTTCTCTGGAATTTAGTAATACTGTTCTGTTCAGTTTTCCTCCTATTTGTATGACTCCTCCTCAGTCTACTTTGCTGCATCCATGTTGTGCTCATTGATCATGGATGTCCCTTTAAGTTTTATCCTTGGACCTCTTCTCTTCTCCCTCTATGGTCTCTCTCATTTGGTTCCCATGGGTTCAGTAATCTTCTCTTTGAAGATGACTCCCAGATCTAAGTAAGCAACTTCAGTCTCATGAGCTCCAGTCCAGAATCATCAACTGGCTGATAAGCATTTCAAATGAGATGTTCCATTGGCATCTCAAATTCAATGTGTCCAATATAGAACTCTTGCTTTTCCTCTCAAATGCACCCCTCTTTTGAACTTCTTCATTATCATCAAAGACAGGTAAGCCATCCTAGCTAAAGTAACAAGGAACCCTGAGGGAGAGACAGGTGATAGCATGTGCCAAGCAGCTCAAACCACCAGCACTACCTTGACCCCCTCCTCTTTTCAGACCCTGATGGAGATAGTCCAAGACCCTTAATTGAAAAGCTTTGGAAAAAGCAGTGCCTCCCACATTACTGGACCTATTCCAGTCCTGCCCTTCCAGTCACCTTTGGAGAAGTGTGTGCCTTTTTTACCAATACCAGTTGCCACTTATGCCAGGCAAACCCAAGAGTCCTGGCCAAGGTAGCACCTTCCAGATCAAGTGTACTGCTTCTAATCCAGCCTCTACAGTGATCATCTTAAGAACCATCCCCTGTGGGGATGCTATCTGGCAACCATATTCATCATGTTATTATCATAGCTTCTGAAGATGCAGAACAGAAAGTCTTCACTATCAAGATCCAAATGCCACTCAAAGAATTGGAAATTGAGGGGATGCCCTACTATTGGGGAATGGCTGAACAAATTGTAGTACATGATTGTGATGGGATACTATTGTGCTATAAGAAATGATGAATAGAATGCTCTCAGAAAAACCTGAGAAGATCTATAAGAACTGATATAGAGTGAAATGAGCAGAACCAGGAGAACACAGTAACAGCAATACTGTATGATGGTCAACTGTGAAAGGCTTAGCTATTCTCAGCAATACAATGATACAAGACAATTCTAAAACACTTATGATGAAAAATGCTGTCCACCTCTGGTGAAAGAACCAAGGGAGTCTGAATGGAGATCAAAGCTTACATTTTTACTTTCTTTATTTTTCTTGGCCTTTTTTTTGGTCTACATTTTCTTTTGCAACATGGGTAATATGGAAATGTTCTGCATGACTGCACATGCATAATCTACATCAAACTGCTTCCTCTCAAGGAGGGGGGAAGTGAGGGAGGAAGAGAATTTGGAACTTAGAATTTTAAAAAAATGTTAAAAATTTACATATAATTGAGAAAAAAGTAAAATAAAAAATTAAAAGTTAAAAAAAGCAAAGACTCTCTGGGAAGAGGCAGGAAGAAGGCTACAAGGAGAAATTTCTGTGATATGACAACAAAAGAAATCAATAAAAATCAATTCAAAACAAAACAAAACACAAAGGAAATAGGAAACAGATACTTACCACACTCTGCATCACGTCTATATTAAGACACTTTGTTTATACATTAAAAAACAATTCTTGTCACTATCAAATGATTGAACATCAGAAATGGAGACAATTTTGTCTGTGGAGATCATGTTAAAGAAGAAGGCTTCTTTGCTGCTGCCCCCTGAAGGCCAGGGGACTTTTCCCTGTGATCTGCAGCTGAAACCTTCCCTATGCATTGTGTCTCCTGTTGGGGGAGGGGAGCTCCTTGAGAGCAGGGACTGTTTTCTTTTTATTTGTAACCTCTGTGCTTTGCATACAGTAAGTGCTTAATAAATGCTTATTCATCCATTCTTTCATTGAGTCACTCATTTAAGGGCACTCCTGACCCCCACCCAGGTTTGCAACCTCAGTGTCCTCCCTGACTCCTCACTCTCATTCAGCCACATGTGTAACCAGCTGCCAAATCTGCCATTTGCATCTCCCCAGCAACTCTCAGACACATCTCCTCTCCTCCGGTCACACAGCCACCATCCTCCTTCAGGCCCTCATCCTCTCTCCTGGACTATTGTAATAACCTCATAATTGGTGTCTCTGCTCCAAGCCTCTTCCCACTCCAATCCATCTTCCACACTGCTGGTAAAGGGAATTCCCTAAAGAGTAGGTCTGATCATGTCACTCTCAATAGACTCTAGAGATTCCCTATGAGGTAAAAAAAAAAAAAAACTCATTGTCTTGCAACTAAAGCTCCCCACAACCTGGTCCCTTCCTAACTTCCCAATCTTCTTACTCCAACTATGGTCCAGCCAAGTTGGCCCCCTTGCAGGTCTTCACCTATGATGTAATCTCCCACCTCCACACCTCTGCATCACCTGTCTGCTGTGCCTGGAATGTCTCCCTACTCACCTCCAACTCTTGGAATCCCTGCTTCTCTTCAAAACCGGGTTCAAATTCTGGCTTTTCCACTTACTTGTATGACCTTAGGCAAGTGGCCTCACTTCCCTGGGCCTCAGTTTCCTCCTCTGTAAAATGAGAGGGATGGCCTTCAATCTCTAGATCTACATTCCTAAGACTTTTATTGGAGAGGTGGGTGGCTATGGGTACAAAATGCAGCACCCACTATCCAATGTAGTCAATATGTTGGTTAATTTGTTGGAGCTTTCTTTTTTTCCATAATGGGAGGTGAACAGCATAGCAGAGGTTATCATTGAATACGTCTTATATAAAACTTAAGCTACCCTAGCTTCTTCTGGCTGAGCACATGTGCTGGTTCATTGCATGCTCCATGGGATGTGGTGCCATCCGAGATATTACTTTAGAAACAAACTCTTTGTTAGGAAGGAAGGTTGACTGGCTAGGAATTGGGGAGAGGGGCATATTTGGACATCAATGTCACGTGAAAACAAAAGGTGTCAATAACACCAAATGAAACAAAAAGGATTCTTTTCATAAGTCTAAAGACAAAGGCCAAGGGAGGCAGCCTTCAGCCATCTCTTGGTACTGGAATCTCCTAACATCTCTCCTTTGGTTAGCTTGAGAACAGAGAGCAAGTCATCTACCTTCCAGGAAACTGTTTCAAAGGTATAGACCACAGACTGTTTCTTGCAAGTGTTCAGCCATAGGCATCTTCCTTCACCATGAAAAAAAAAAAAAGTAGGATGACAACAGGAGAAAAAAGATTTCTTTAGATTGACATGCCCAGTAGGACGAGGCCTTTGAATGAGCCCACATCTGATCTGTTCTTAATGTTTAGACCAGCACACAACATAGGTCAGTACTTAGACACGTGGACAGGCCTTTCAAGTTTTGCCTGCAGACATTCAGGCATCTTCATGCAATATTTATCGGCCAGCTTTCTTTTGACTGAAAATAGCCTGTCAGGGTGAGAACAGGGAATCAGGTTATGCTGGAACAAACAGATTGGGCATCAACATTACCACGCTTATGCATGGATTTTCCCAGGAGAGGAGAGAAAGAAGGTTTGGTATTGTGGTCCATTAAGTATAGAGAGCATTAGAGGCAGGGCAACGGGCAAAGTATGGGACCAGTTGACTCCCTTCCACCAATCACCCCAGCATTGGAAACTGGGTTGTAAATGTGCTGATATTTGTTGGTTATTCTTGACCCTCAGAAGACAAGGTGATCTAAAGACAGGGTCTTGAGGTCCATGCCAGCCAGGTGTGCTGGTGAACCTGACTGAGTAGGGCTGAGGGCAGCCAAGAAAGGGTAATTGTATTAGCTGGGCCATGAAGAAGAAATATGAATCAGCTGGCAGAATAGAAATAATGGCTGTTTTAGAGTCAGAGGCCTCTCTGGCCTCAGTTTCCTCATCTGAATGTAGTGGGCTTTTAGCCGATGATGATTCCCCCACCCCCACCCTCAGCCCCATAGCCTTAGTGGGTGTTAGCTGTGGGAACTAGTTGACAACCACACCAAACCCCAACTCCTCTGCCTGTAGCTTGATTTTTTCCCCCTTATTAATTCTCCTCCTGAGTTCTAACACAATCAAGAGGTATGTCCCAATATTTTCTCATAAATTTATAGAAATGCACAATATCTCTTATTCATCAGTTAGCCCTGAGTCCCCACTACCAGTTTATTAAATAAATCAGAGAAACCTCTTTACCCATAAGCTTTAGTTCATCTCTTCCCACTCTCTTCCTCTCTCCCCCTTTCTTTCCTCCCTCTGTTTCTGTCTGCCTCTGTCTCTCTCCATTTCTATATATACATACACTTTATATACATATGTATGTAATACATTTGTGTGTATATATGTGTATTATATATAATACAGTTTCATATATATATAATATGCACACATGTAATTCTCTAGTATCATTGTTGTTGTTCAATCATTTCTTTAGTCATGTCTGACTCTTTGTGACCCCGTTTGGAGCTTTCTTGGTAAAGATATTGGAGGGGTTTGCCATTTCCTTCTCCAGCTCATTTTACAGGTGAGGAAACTGAGGCCAACTGGGTGAAGTGACTTGCCCAGGGTCACCCAATTAGTAAGTATCTGAGGCCAGATTTGAACTCGGGAAGGTACGATGGCACCACCGAGCTGCCCTTTCCTTAGTCTTAAACAAACATCAGTATTACAGGCTATATACAATTATTAGCAGTGAATATTTCAACAATGTGTAGCCCTAATTTGCAGACACAAGAACTCCCAGAATTTCCAGCTATGGATGTTTTTGAGAGAAAATCTGGGTGGCTGTGTGTGTAGGTGACTAGGGTTGGTTGGGGACAGTTCTGGAAAGAAGGACGAGGAAGAAAAGAGAGAGATACTGAATTGGAGGAAAGCTCTCTACCTTGAAGAAGAGAGATGTGTAGAGTGGCATCCATAGATCCAACTCTTTAATCTTCCCAGCACTTGCATTTAGAAACACGTGGTTGTAGAGAACAGCCATGGGTGGTGTGTGGCTTAGGGATAGGAATCTGATTTGGGGACAGGCCCACTCAGTTATGTTCTTCCCTAACCAACAGCTTCTGGAGAGGGGGGAAGGTCAGAAAGTCACCGGCTGCTGTATTTTCACTGTGATAATTGTTTCCCTCACTGGATATTCCATTTGCTTCCCACTTTCCATTATGATTGTTCTCCTTGGTATTAATTTATACTGGCCTCCCTTATGTGATTATTTGGGCAGCACTGGGGCTATGGGACGGTAGAGGAGGGTATGGATATATTCAATAGGTCCTCCATAGCTTAGCTCAGAAGTCAGGCCCAGCCAAGCACCTGGCACTTAACAATTCCACCCCACCACCCCCTTCAGGTTACCAACCCTTTAAATCAACTCAAAGTTATAGGTGGGGGAAATAAAGATCTGAGGGGGTAGTTTAAAATCAAACATGAATTCTCCCCTAAACATCCTATTTACATATCACATTTTAATGAGCCCAGAAGTCAAGGACACAAAAAAGGGGTGGGGGAAGGAGGCACAGGAGAGGATTTGGGCTGCGGGGACTTTTTTGTATTCTACCTTTAGCCCTTCACTTCTAGACAGTGTGGGCAAAATACTATCTAGCTACAAATGTATCATAGTGAGAAAGATTCCAATCAGAGGCACCTCTATCAACTGTTAACTACTGACTTCTTCAATTTCGGAAACACAGTTTTGTCGTTCAGCTCTCAGGATGACGGTGAAAGTTTCTCAAGGATTCTTTTCAGGGAATCCTCTCCACAAGAGGTAAACTCAGTCACTTAAGAGAAAATGTTCTTTTTTATCTTATGTGCTTAAACATCTCTCTCAAGACAGGACAACAAGTAGTTTGGAAATGAGAGCAGTGTTAAAACAAAAAAAATCAAATTTTTTTTTAAAAAAGTAGTCCAAAATAGTTACTTCTCTCTTATGTGGCACTGAGCTCTGAGCACCAAATGAGTAAGAAATGCATGGTGTTGAATTTGAGTA